GGCCTTTACGGCCTGTAGTACCCCCAAGGTCGGGCCTTTAGGCCCTACTGTGTCCCTCTAACCCTAAGTCGGGTCCGGTAGGACCCGTGTGGCGTCGAAGATGTAACATCCTCCCTCAACTTCCTCTTTTCATAAAATTCCTTCCTCTGTTGGGTTAGCAGTCACTGGTGAAAGGCACCATTCCTCTCTGCAATCGGTAGGTCCCTTTCCTCAATGTCAGCGGCTACTCCCAACTTCGCTGCAAACTCCTCCCTCTCCTTCTCTGACTCTTCTGGCATCTTGCTGCGAAACCCAAATTTCTCCACCCAATCCTCATAATCCGCTTGGTGGAGTCTCAGCTGACCGGCCTGGGTGCTCTCTGCACCATCATCATGCTTTTCTTCTCCTTCCCCTGGTCTTCTTCCCCTTCTCCCCAGTCTTTCCTCTTCTTCCTCTTCTTCCTCTTCTTCTATCGCCTTTGCTTTCTCATTTGATAGTTTTTGCATTTCCATCTCCTTCTTTTGCATCTCTTCCTCCGTTTTCTTTTATCCTCTTCCAACTTCTTTTTCACTTCCACCACCTTCTTTTTTTTTTCTCCTCTTTCTCCCTGTTTTTCCCTGCCAGCCCCCTGTTAATCTCTGCCTGTTCCTCAGGGCTAAACGGCGTGATTATCTTACCGGATTCGAGGTCCGGTGGAAGCCAAGAGGGAAAAGGAAATGGAGCAGCGGCCCCCATATTACGACAGGGCCGGGGAAGCGAACATGCGGTAGTTGTCTATGGTGAGGGTCAGCACAGGTAAGTTGACTCCGCCTCCTCACCACTTTGACCTACTCCTCAACACTTAACAATCTTCACCACTCACTGCTAGACCTAAATCGGGATCTGACAACCTAATTTCCCTTCCCCACAACAGCGCTACAGCTTGCCTAAGGGGCTGGTGGCCACCCAGCTGTTTAAGGTCTGCCAGCACAGACCTCAAGAATTCTTTAACGCGCAGTCAGGACGTCGTGGCCACCAACCGAAGGCTTGCTCTCAATAGGCAGACAGATTCCTCACTGTGTGTTGCAGGGTTCAGGTATAGCTACCACCAGATGGGTAGCCAGCTGGTCTGTGCCGTCTTTTTGGGGGATCTCCCTGGCTTCCTTCCCTGGTGGACCTTACGTCTCGCCCCTACTTTGTGTGTGTGCGATGCAGCTGTTGAATCTCTACCAACCTACAACTCCTCATTGCGTCAGCTCCAGTTCGGTTGCATGCCGGTCAGTACCGGTCTTAGGGCTAGACAGCTTGTTTTACGAGCTCCTGCCGCTCATGGCCATGCTCCCTACTAGGGGTGATTCATCCAGCTGCCGAGCTGCTATCAAGTCTAGAACTCCTCACTGTGTTCCATTGACTTTCAGTCGCACGCCGGTCAGTACCGGTCCTAGGGCTAAGCGGGTGGGTTGTTTATTGAGTGCCTGTTGCTCTGCCAGTGCTTCTTCTTAGTCTAGGAATACATCCAGCTGGCGAGTTCCTACCCTAGACCTAGACACATCATACATTCAAAGACAATTGCAGACTCGACAAGAACAATTCAGATGCGACCAGATGATGTCAACACATGACCTAATTGCAGCAGAGGTCTCTGGGAAAGTTTGTGGGAAGGTACAAACGCAACAAAACGAATTGCATAAAAGACAAGAGCCGGGACAAGAAGCACTTCACTAGGTCTTCAATCGCTCCTTCGGTGATGCTCCTCGCTTGCGGGTACGCGCTCCTCTTGCTCCTTGCTATGCCTCTTCTTCTTCGGCCCTCCTCCAGTCAAACCCCGATATACTTTTTTGTTTTTTTGTTACCCGCCGGACTTCTTTTTTGCCAGCGCCTCCACTCCAAGTGGGTGCAGCGGGAACCAGCTCTGATACCAATGAAATGAACCAAGTTCTCTTCAACTCTCAAACCTTGCAAGTATGCACAGAACATTCACACGAGAGTTCACACAGGAGAAACCAAAGACCGGATACAATCAGTGCATAAGAAAACCGTCACCGAATTATCGAAGATTACCAAGAAATTGTTTATGTCGCCATCGGGCTCTGCCGCTCACCCCACACAGTGTCTCAACATCGGCTATGGGCTTGCTTTCTCTCTCTCTCTCACTCAGCCTCACTACTCTCTCTGTAGCTTGGTCCGCTCTCTCTCTCTCTCTCTCTCTCTCTCTCTCTCTCTCTCTCTCTCTCTCTCTCTCTCTCTCTCTCTCTCTCTCTCTCTCTCTCTCTCTCTNCTCTCTCTCTCTCTCTCTCTCTCTCTCTCTCTCTCTCTCTCTCTCTCTCTCTCTCTCTCTCTCTCTCTCTCTCTCTCTCTCTCTCTCTTCTAACCCTAGATTGTAGCCCTGGATACACCCACTCCAATAAACCTCCAGCTTGGCGGCTATGATGGCCGGAACTCCTACTTCACTACCCTAGCTATGGAATATCCCTCAAGCGCCTTCCTCCTTCTCCAAGCGCAATGTGCCCAAGTTGCCTCAACACACAAGCAGCAGCAGCGCTTCTGCATCTTGCAATTGAACAAGTGTCCAGGTGCTGCACTTTAGCAGCTAAATATAGAGTTGGACTTGACTTGGCCTGCTTCAGACTGGTACCGGTCGGCCGCGGCCTGTCTGCTGCAATCATTTTGTTGGCTCAGTTGCTTCCGGACTTTTGTGGGACATGCTGCACAAACAGGACTTGGGACTGGACCGGTCTGGACTTTTCTTGTTGGGTATCGGACTGACTTCTAACGACCTGTGACGTTTTGGTACCGACACCTACCGACGTCCGGCACTTTGACCAATGGATCCTAGGACCTACCCTAACGGGACAGCCTGGGACTGGGACAATTTGGGACCTTGGTGCCAGGATACGAGGTGTCTGCAGCGTGAATCCTTTCATTTGAAAAATGTTTATCCGTTTCTGTTGTTGCTATCATCCTGTGACTCAGTGTTTGCTGGACGGAACGCCTGGAGCTGTACATTTATCGACCATATGTATTTGAAGTTAATATAGTGCATTATATCCGAAGTTGAGGACTGAACGACCAGTACGTTTGACCCTTCCCTTGCCGACGCATGCAACTCACTGAAAAAACGAATCGGCATGGGTGCCGCCAGCCATTTTGCTCCGGTAGACCTACACCTGAAACTTGCAGCCGCGTGCACACCACATCTGAGAAAAATAGCTGGGGAATCATACTGGTGGTTTAAAATGCCGTTCAATTGTTGTGTTGTTTTTAATGGTTCTAGGTCTCTTTCATTGCTGCTGCTTTTTGTGATAACACTGGCCTTTATGAATGTGACAGATGGACGTTGGAGTTGGGAGTTTTGTAGTGACAAATGCGCTTGTCTCAAAAGAAGCAAGAGGTGCACGACCATCGTGAGTATGTGTGTCCAGTCTCCCTCTCTCTTTTCTGTCCAGCGCATTGCGAATTGCACTTAGCTCCTTGCTCATTTATTTATTGTCTACCAGTTATGAACACCATTTTATGAAATGAATTGAAATTGTGTGATAATAAATATTAAATATCGAACAACAAAGTTTCAAATGAATATTGGACTTCAGAAAAAGAAAGTTTCAATTGTCTTTGTGCAATGCAAGTCTATTGTGTCTCAAACCACCAGTACGGCGCCGACCTAGCTACGCTTTCACTTGTTACATGGACACTGCGGAAAGTTTCAGCCTACTGGAACCAAGGGGGGATACTGGAGGGGTGTGCAGAATTGAGTGCCTGGACTTCGGTGATTTTTAATTCGCATTTTGTCGATATGCAAGGATATGAGCGAGAGCGATATACAGAAAACCAAGTTGCAAAATCACGCAGAATTCCAGATAGTCATGTATCAAGCAGAGGGCTCAAATGCACCAAGATTCCATCCAAATAAGAGCAATACAATGAACTCGTGAGCCAATGTTCAAGCCCTCAGGCCACACACAACGCAGTATTCGATGTTGCTCCTCTCTGTCTGGCGGCCAGCGCCCAGGCTACTCTACTTGTCCTACCTAGCGTCCCTACGTTCATGCAACAGGCTCACTTCGACTTTGAAGACCAGTGTACATTTTGTCAACACCAATGCCGACCTCCCACATACACCAGGTACGTACTCTCGTCTCCCTCATCACCCCCTGTCCACCCACTTCTGCGCTTCCTCCCGAAGACCCCTGTTGCCCTCCTCTGCCTTCACGCCCTGCAGCCCGGCTATGGCCGCTAGCTCCCCGCTGCCCAGCAGCGCCATCACCTCTCAGCGCCCACGCGCGCCCCGGCCAGCAGATGCGCATGCAGACACAGCAGCGCATCCGCATTGCCTGCCTAGGCCAGAATGCCTTCCCTGGCTGGCTTGCTTCCTATATGGAAGTGGCAGCTGCTGCTGGACTCCCTGGGCCTCGCCGTGGAAGTTTCCATTAGCTTCTGGTCGGGCCCCAGTGTCTGCGCCCAGACCCATCTCGACAGTTAAGGGCCTGGGCCCTTTTCATTTGGGCACACCAAGAAATTTCCAGGCTCCGAATGTTTGCTGCATTTGCACTGGCCCACAGGGTAGATACGACAACAATGCTGCTTTCTTGTTGGCCCGTGGCCACTTCGTGACGTGTCGGCCTCACAATGTGTGTGCCCAGGGCACAACCACCCGGGTCCTGGGCTCAACTGCCTGGCGGAGTTGCCTCTTCTGGAAGAGCCCAGGGTAAGGCCCAGGTTGCACTTCAAACAACCAAATGTCGTGCAGCAACTGTCTGAGCCTCGCATTGGAAAATGCTGAGATAAGGGCCTCTCGTAAATATTAAGGTCCGGCTTCACTTAGGGCGGGCACAAGGCTTGCTGGGGGCCCACATTCCAGAACATATGCATGTTGCCCAGGGCCCCCTAAGGACGCATTCCTCAGATGTCATCCCCCTTAGCTTCAAAGGTCCGCTGAGATGCTTCTATGCAGATGCCTTCCCCTTCAACCGTCTCTCATAGTCTGCCACAATCTGAGGTGATGTCTCAATCAGTTCCTCTCTGGTGAACCATCAGTTTTCTTTTGTATCCGTATGATGCCTGAATCTCACCTTGTATTCCCGTTGGGGTTTCGGCGGTCTCCCTCTGCCCACAGGCTTAGGAACAGTCATGTCTCTGTGCTCCAGAATGTCATCAACGTCCACGTGGCCATCCATGGTTGGGGGCAGCATCAATCTCCTTGATGGGAACTGCTGTGTCTCAGTGCAAGGTGCAAGCTTTGAGGCGTGAAACACAGGGTAAGTGTGCAGGTGACGAGGGATTCGAGTCACCACTGGTGTTGTGCACAACATTGTTGTACAGGCTGGCGATGAGAGGTAACTTCTCATCCCAGTCATCCTGGTTGGGCTTTATGTAATGCCTCAGCAGATGCTCCACCACTCGGTTCATCTGTTCAGCCTGCCCGTTGGCTTCGGGATAATTTTCCAGAAGTCATCTGGAGTTGGCTGTTCTGCAGCCTTCTTCCACATTTCACTGGTGAAACGGACATCTCAGTCACTAACGATAGTCTTTGGCAGTCCAAAGTCACGGACCCAGTTATCCATGAATAACTTGATGACCTGCTCAGTCCTTGCGGTCTCTGGCATGGCAATCAATCTAGCGTACTTGGTAAACCTATCAACTATGACAAAGATATGGCTCTTGCCACTCTTGCTGGTCACGAGGGTATCTATGAAATCCATGCTTACACTTTGTCTCGGACCAGCAGGAATGGGTAGGGGCTTGAGTAACCCAAGCAGATCTCGAGTACGCGGTTTGTCCCGCTGGCAGACTTGACAAGTCTGAACGTACTGTGTTGCTTCGTCTAGCTGTACCAGGTTTGTCCCATTGCATCATGACATTCTCCTAAAAATAAACTACACAAAATATCACTAGCTGAAACAACTTATCTCTTAAACCCTGCCTTCTCAAGGAAGAGTAACCCATCCACCATCACGAACTCATTATATGTGGCCTTGTCTTGGGCCTCAAGTTTGCGTATGATGTCCATCGTGAAAGATCTTCCTTGTAGGCTTCCGCCATCGATCGAGTTACATCCTCAAATAAGCCAAACTCAGTTATTGGCGCACCAAGGTAGTCTGCCCTACATGACAGCACATCAGCAACCTTGTTATACTCTCCCTTCACATAGTCTAGCTTGAAGTCATACTGATCTATGACCTCAATCCAGCGTTTGAGTGCTTCAGAGAGAACGGGTTGTGTTGATCCACTTGAGTGTTCGATGATCAGTCCTCAAATAGAAGAACCTTCCCAACAGATTGTGTCTCCGGTGGACAAGTGCTTTGTAGAGGGCGTAGAGTTCCCTTTCATAGGGGCACTTAGCCAGTTTCTTTGATGGCATTTTTTTACTTATGTACTCGACCGGCCGCAACTTCTTCCCTTCCTGCTGAGCCAGCACTGTGCCAATGCCACCGTACTATAGTTCTTCACAAAGTTGCGGCAATAGCCAGTCATCCCTAAGAATGATCTGACCTCGGTCACAGACTGAGGTTGTGGCCAGTACCGAATGCTAGCCACCTTGGAGTCTTCAGGCCTTATCCCATCCGCGGATATCTCATGACCCAAGTACAAAATTTTAGTGCGACCGAACTCGCATTTCTCGAAGTTAATCTTATACTTGTGTTGTCGAAGGAGTGAAAGTATAGTCTCTAGATGTTGAGCATGCTCCTCGACCGTTCTACTAAAAATAAGTATGTCGTCGAGGTGCACAATGATAAACTTATCTAAGTAGTCATGGAATATCATATTCATGGCGTGCTGGAATGTACCTGGCACATTGCAAAGGCTAAAGGTCATCACCACAAATTCGTATAGACCGTACCTGGCCTGAAATGCGGTTTTGTGTTGGTCCTTCGATCTAATGGCAATTTGATGGTAGTCGGACTTTACGTCTATCTTAGTAAAGTACTTACATCCCTGCACCCTATCTAGAAAGTCATCGATGCGCGGTAGAGGCTCTGCGTTCATTATAGTGATGGCATCGAGGCCTCTATAATCAATGCACATCTTCAGTGTCCCCCCTTTCTTTGGGACCAATAGGACTGGTGAGCCGAAGGGGGAAATGCTTGGCCGTATCCAACATTTCTTTGTGAGCTCTTTCAATTGTTACCTAAGTTCGTCTAACTCGGCCGGTGCCATCTTATAGATCCTTCCTTTGGGTATGTTGTTCCCCGTAACTATCTCTATGGTATGGACAACCTCCCATTCCACAACTCCTGAAGGCTCCTCAATCAGGTCAGGGTACTTCGCGACGACCTTTTCTATCTCTAGGGGTATTTTAACAGCCTCCCCTTTCTCCGAGACAAAAACTATGTGCATACCCTCCTCTTCGTTATGTTTATAATAATTATAAAGGGTTGATGCAGACATACACCTGTAAGTGTCTATCAGACTGCTAGCCTTATACTTTGGAAGTCTAATTGTCCTCGCTTCCGATAGTACATGCTTAGGCACCTTTCGGTCCCTGTCAAATTGGAGTTTGGCCACCTCGAGGTAGTACATACCTAACAACATGTCAAACGCAAGTCGTCGCTGACTAGCAACAAAATCTTATGATTCAGTTCCCCACCTCCATAGTAGAAGGTGCAGACCACATCCTTAACGTAGTCATCAACAACCATGCGCTATTTGTTGGCTAAGGTAACGGCTACGGATCTACCCAAACGTTGCACCCGGTCCCCTAGGTGCAGTCTCTCAACGTAGTCGTGACTTTTGAAGTTTAGCGTGGAGCCAATGTTTACGAAGGCACCACATTTGCGGCCACCTACACCGGCTTCCACAACGAAGTGCTACACTCTAGGTCCTTTGCTTAGCGCCACCCAAGACTCGCGAGGGTCCCTTGCCGACCACTCACTTTGCATGTTTTATAAGGCCTCAAACACATCCAACGAAACAGAGTATCGTTGGGTCAGGATGCGTTTGCAGGGTGACAAAAGAGTGGCCAACTCTTGAAGTGGGGAGGGTACATCGCCAACTTCATCAGGAGTAGAAGCATCTAGAACTTCAACTGGCCCCATGTGTTTCCCGAGTTGGAGCTCGTAGAAGCTCCGCCATGGGAGAAAGAATTCCCCAAACCACCTTTGGGAGGTATCTTCTGCGATACCTTCGCCTTCTTGCATCTGAACTGCTGATGGCCATACTCGCCGCAGTTGATGCAAGCACCTCGCTAATAGCTGTCTCGCCACACATCTTGTTCCAGACCTTCCCTCACCCAAGCTGGTATCTTGGTTATGGGTCTGCCCCTGACTCTTTGATTGACTGCCCTTTCTGCGGCCGCCTTACCTTTACAAGTGAGGTGAGGTTGCTACTCTCAACACTATCCTCGTCCTCAAACTTTGTTCCGTCCACTAGGTCGGAGTAATCATCGCCCTCAGTTTGATTCCCTTCA